TCGGACGAAGGTCTTCGTTGCATAAATAACTATTTAGCAATATCAGATGTATTTTTTCAGAGTTGCGTCTGCCTGTAAATAATTAGGTTTGGGGGTCATTAGAATTTTACTCTAGCTTATGCGATCGTATTCGCCGGATAGCGACGTTAACGACGCTTAAGATATTGCAATCAGTGAAATAATGAGACGGCTCCGGCTCAAAAGTGCGGTTTATATTCCTTTTTACCGCCAGTACTTCGCCCATTGTCAGGATTAAATGTTACTGATTATGCTTGACTGGTAGACGATTGTATTTAGTGCGAATCGCGCCAAATGCATTGGATATTGAATGCATTTAATCGATGACTGGCAGAGCCCACCATTACATGATCGCAAACGTGCTTTCTTGCATGCGAATTCCTTACTACGGTACGAGCATACGCGTTTAAAACTGGGTTGGAATTAATATCAAGGACCGTGACAGACATACGAGGACGCCATTATTCGCAATTTACCGACACAATCGAATGTACAAGACTTTATGTATACAATCCATAAGTAAAGCCGTCGTTCTTGCCGACTACTCATCAGTGGTCCTAATGTAATGTTTCCTCTTGTTAAGCTAAGGGGTATGTAAAACCTGGTTTTAATGGTGGAATAGCAATCGGTACATTGAGATCCTAGTCTCTAGTGCATACGAGGCTCTAGAGATTGGGCCCGTATACTATGTTGTGGCAATATTGCTAAATTTTGTAGATGACATGAAGATAGAGTGGTTTCATATTTTGACATAACTATCTACTGCTTCTATGGTGAAGTTGTAGTTGGCATCGACAGTACATGCTGCAGTGTTGCTGTTTGCGCACCCGAGTAACTATCCGAATAGTCGAAAGACCGAGATCATATTGGACAAATTGAGCATACGATGATTGGAACGTCCACGAAACGACTGATTTTGCCTCAGTTATTGTAAAGATCCTAATTGACTTAGGTCACCGAGATTACGCAATGAATGAATTCTTAGTTGTTGCACGTCTGCTTGCAATCACGACCTTCATGCCCCTATGAAAGTATGCGGTCGCAACCACGGGACTTTTGTCTTTTCAGCTAGGATCATTCTTATCAGTAACGCATTCGAGTGGCATTGTGCGTGAGGACAAGAGAATATGGCGAGCGCGATGTGACCGACTGCTGCTTCTAACACAAAGCGCATTTCTAGTGGGAAAGCTGAACTCGATTTGTTTTTAGCGAACTTTTTATACTTCACGCTGGTGACCAGCAGTTTACGCATCCTAAACATCCGATTAATCGCAATAAGACGAGTTTAAGCCTCAGCAGAGCATCGAGGCATCGGATTTCGAGATGGCTGAAAGATTGATGTGATTATTACTGCGCATAAAAACATCCGTAAAAGCTCGTTCCTTTTAGTGCAGACAACCCTAGGATAGCTTATAGTCTTTATGAAGACAAATCCTATAAATGCACTGGGTATGAGCTACGTTACTTTTTTTAATTGATTGTGAAATGGTAAAATCAGTAAACACGAGGTTTTCCCTTCTAAAAAAATTTATAAATATGTACCAGTACCATTACCTTTGCACAAAGGCTCGATGTGTGCCAGCACAAGGCCTAAAATGAGCTTAACTTTTCTAGATAATTGAGCTTTCAGCGAATTTTGTATCAGCTCATACAGAACGATATATCTTATAAAATCAAGGATAACAATAATCAAAAAATAGCTAATGACAAACTGATTAACAGAATCCCGGGGAAGGGGTGCTCAGAGTCCAAATCTAAAGGAAGACCTGTCAACTTAAGTGATTCATACATTTGAAGTTGTGTCTCCTTATTTTTTAAATAATCGAGAATAAGGCTTAAATGTTATCGGAACTTTTAGCTTAAATGCGCACTTTATCAGGCTCGTTAGTGGTTAATCAAAACGCTATCGAAAGAAAAAATGACGAAAATTACTTATTAACTAAGAAAGCCATTGATGTATCATTTCGTGGACTTCAGGCTAAAATTTCTCTCATTGAGCCCTTTAATGCTCTATGGAAGGTTTGAATTTTAAACAACAAGAGGCTTGAGGAAAAGAAACTCCACTTGAAAGAATGGAGCGGATACAATCGTGGCGAAGGAGGATGATTCATAAATTATTGGTTTGTCGGAGCTTATTCCTACCCTCTAATTTATATGTGTCCGCATACAAATCGTGTGCAAGTGTTCACCCTAATTTATGGATAACCACCCCCCCAACAAATCTAGTAGATCTTACTGCCAATCTACTCGTCGAATCTACTCTGAGGTAATTACGGTTGTGAAGACTCACCCGTATGCACTACGCTTAAGGTTCGATAACGCTCATGTTTTTAACAAAAACAAAACTTTTGTGAAGATACAGATCGATATTTAGTCTATTTTTTTTACAAAACTGAAAATGACTTAGGACAAGGGAGAGGAGAGAGTTCCATAGAAAGTGATTGTGTTTTTTTAAATCGCAAATCAGATCTTAAAAAAATATAAATTTAGAAACAAATTTTGAAGCTGTTCAGCTTAATAAATTACATCCTCGTATGTTTGGGTACTACACTTTGTTGGGTAATGCGGAACGTAATTCAGACGTCCATCCTAATGGCTGCCATCACTCAAGTCATCCTAATTTCTTGTATTCACCAGTTTAGTACACTCAGACCTGAGTCTTTTAAAATTAGGCAACAGTATACAAGCTTTCTGAGCTTAGGAGTAAATTCATATAATTTTCTGTTTCTTGAACTCAGTAATCTTTGATGGCTATAAGGTACGAGGTATAAGCTAGCGACCATAGAACAAGGCAAGTGGAACATAACCGTATGATTAATATAATTTCTCACAAATGAGGACATGAGTTACCCGAGGAATGACAGTATTATACTACAGTCGTCCCTCGATAAGTTTCCCCCGGTAACGTCAATTGTAATCGTTCTGTGTTCTGTAGATGGTCGAAATCTTTTAAGCTAAGATGGGGGAGCAATCTATGGAGCTTTCTCTTAAACGTAAGTCATTCAATCTGGAGAACTGAAACAAGTTGCAACAGGATGTATACAACGACAGACACTAAAGAATGAGTATGATGCTTCCAATGTATGTATTAACACAGTGCAGTATACTTGGACTACGCGATTAGTCTTTTCTTATGAGCGTCCAGCATTTGCTTTATCTAATCATATCCATCTTCTTTTATTTTTAAGCCAATCACATGCGCGCGGCATAGTATGGACCTGAATACAGTGTCACACCTATCATGCTAATCGACATATAAGAGGGGGGGGTACAAGCTAGATCGTATTTAGTACGAGTCAGGTAAACACAACAGCGTTATTTACACATACACAGACAGACTGAAAGACAAATAAGTCACATTCAGAAGTTCGGCATTCAATCTTGCGCACACTCGCTAATAGCTTCACCCTTCGGGCCCACAATTATCAGCTTCGTCATAGAAATTATTTCAAGGCCCCAATACTGCACCCAAAAGGGCAAACATTTCTGGCGATATCCAAATTTGATACGACGATCACGTGCAGCTTCAAGAGGCATGTAACGGACAAAATAACGATTTACCGCAAATAGCAAAATGTTTAATGGAAGAAGAGGAAAGCAAAGACGATAAATTAAGGTATGGTGGCGATGAAGAAGATGTAGGGCGTTAATCCAGATGTGCAAAATAGTAGAAATAGGGATATAGATGTCACACAACGAAGATAATGAGGCCGTATCGAATCGTCATAAAGTGTATTATCGCTTGGCTACTACTATAATCTGCTACTATAATAAATACCACGTGATACTGCACTTTGCTATTCTTCTTGTTGACACATTTAAGTGTCTAAAATGATAAAAGTGCGCGTTTACGAGAAAAAAAGACTTCTGCAGTAGTTCAGCCATCTATCACGTTTTCGCACAGTCATGCAAACCTTAAACCTCCGCAGAAAGTATGAGCTGCTGTGGCATCTACCCCACTCTCAACTAGTTTAGAATGCGTCGTTTAAAGTGGTGGCTGATGATCTGTCATGAATACCACGAGAGCAGCATGATTTAATTTTGCTGACCGAACATGTCTTAGCATCAGAGCGAGAGATGAGAAACTCGCTGACGACTGTCATACCAGGTACGATCTGGAGGTGTATGCACTATCGTGACTTCCTGTTTAAGTAGGACGGTACCTTTTTATATGATATGCTTAACGGGTAGATTTTACACATATTTTGACCAACCATAGTTGGCTGGTTTGAGATTCTACGTAATCAAAGAAAGGGAGTGAATTTAGTTAAAAAAGGGAGCGATTCTAACCAAAAGGGAGCGATTCTAACCAAAAGGGAGTGAATCTAATTAAAAGGGAGTGAATCTAACTAAAAAGGGAATCTAACAACTCCCCTCTATCGATTGACTTTACAACGGGTTTATGTTTGTGTCTGACACCACCACCATGATCCAATAACAAATAATCTATGATAACTAATAAGAAAGTGTGGCGACCAAGACTACAAGTCCGCAGAGGGAGGACTGCATTCAAGTCATCGTCGGGTGGGGATGGCACAAGCGAGAGTGTAAAAATCTCGAGCAAAGTAACGTCAGAGCCATTAGTTCAGTAGCAGCATCCAGTCGATTCATCGTTTATAAAATGTTGCTTACCAGTGCAATCGGTCATTCAGTCAAAAAGCGAAGCACACAACTTCAAGCGAACACACCACAAAGCCAATAGTTTAAAAAAATCAACGCAGTTTCTGTCGTTTGCCGGATCAAGCAAACTCCAGTCAATTCTTCCACAAGCGTCTGTTTGTGTTTTCCCAAAGTAGAGTGCCGCATGCCATAAAACGGACCCCTCGTCCAATCGCGTTCTGACTCTCTTTAACTCACTTCTTTTCAGCTCCACTGCAACGTCGGACTGATCCGTACGTGGTACTTCATCTCGTCCAGCGTGATCCGTCAAGTCATTCTGCCTTTAAAAAGGCACCTGCACCAAGTTCCACACGCGCCAGTTGATGCGCCGTCGAGACAGCGAGTTGCTCGCTCGCGCGCGGCCTTCGCGTCTCAGTTACAGCTACAGCCAATGCACCAGTCGCAGTCGCAGCGGCAGCCTCGAGAGCGACTTGCGGGGCGTCTTCAGTGACATTGGCGACAGTTCCGAGCTTTTGGATGCAGAGACGGAGACGGAGCTCCTGCAGCAAGAGGACACTGGACAGCGTGAGACCGTGCGCGTGACCGTTCGGTTCCGTCCTTTGCTGTCAAAGGAGAAGAGCAGTCGACGACCTGCTTGGACTGTCGATGCAGAGAAAGGGACAGTTGGAGCAGCAGCGTTCAGCTCAGGACCAGCTTCTAGACGGACGGAGCTCTACTCGTTTGACGAAGTCTATGACGGTTGCCACTCGACACAGACCATTTACGATGGACTTGCGAGATCGATTGCGCGTTCAGCTTTGGACGGTATTCATGGCACGATCTTTGCCTATGGCCAGACAAGCAGTGGCAAGACGTATACGATGCAGGGTGCAGGATTGAGAAGCAGGCGAATGACGATGAGACAGGAGCAGAAAGTCGAGACAGAAGAAGATCGGCGACCGGACGACGGGGACGGACTTGTTCAGCTGGCGGTGAAGGATCTGTTTGATGAGATGGCGAGGCGAGTGGATGCTGAGTACTTAATCCGCGTCTCGTACTTGGAAGTGTACAATGAGACGGTCAAGGATTTGTTGGCCAGTAGTTTAGCAACAACGGGGAAGCGGAGGAACTCGACTGTGCACATTCGTGAACACCCTGTGACTGGAGTATTTACAGACAACTCGGAACGAGTGGTGACAACCGCACGGGAAGTTTTGCAAGTTCTGCGTGATGGCGAGAAGCAGAGAGCAGTGGAAGCTACGCGTATGAACGAGCGTAGTAGTCGATCGCACTCAATTTTCAGAGTGGTCATTGAGACGAAAACGCGTCTCGAGTCATCCATTTCGACTGATGGTCGGGCGGATGAGGATGACGAGGCTGGTGTGGAGATCGTGCGCGTAGGTTGTCTAAATTTCGTGGATTTGGCTGGCTCTGAAAGTGCTCGAGCCGTGAGTTCTGGTGGCAAAAAGCTCACGACAGAGAGTGGCAACATTAACAGAAGTTTGTTGGCGCTCTCGAGGGTTGTCGTGGCGCTCAGTAGCAGCAAGTCGATGTCTCAGCAGGATCATGTCAATTTCCGGGACAGCAAACTCACACGTATTTTACAGCCTTCACTTAGTGGTGCTGCACGCGTCCTGTTTGTTTGCTGCGCATCTCCTTCACCTGCTTACATCGAGGACACTCGCAGTACGCTAAAATTTGCTAGCCGTGCCAAGCGAATTAAAGTGAACGCATCAGTCAACGAAGTCGTGGACCAACGTGCTCGTGCGCTGATGGAGCTTTCTCGTGAGAACCAGCTCTTGCGTCGACAGCTGGAGACGTTTGCTTCCGCAAGTCGTGATGAAATGGATGCAATGGAAGAATATATCGTTCGTCAGCGCACGCGTATTGCCTCCCTGGAAGCTGCTGCAGCAGCTACGACGCGGCTTTCTTTATTCGTGAAGGAAGCACCTTTGGACTATGTTCAGAAGGACCGATGTGAGCGGCAGCTAGAATCTACTGGACTCGAAGGAGCAAATACTTTGAATGCCTTGGACAGTCAGGTTTTGGAAATGGACTTATCTGACGGAGAGGACACCTATGTTGATAGTCAATTCGGCTCGCTAACAGAGTCACCACTTTTGGTGGCGGATGCGGCATGTGTGACGTGCGAATCTCTCGATGTTGCCTTGGAGAATGCTAAGACACGCGAATTGGAATTTTATATGCGTATTGAGCAGCTTGAGGCGTATATTAATAAGTTGGAGCATCGAGAGAACGACAACAGCAGCAGTTCTGCAACTAGTGAAGGCTCAGATGACGGAGAAAAGTTTGTCTTAGATGTTGAAGATGACGAAACGGACGAGATTACGTCGATAGCCGGCAGAAAGGAGGGTGGCGTGAGCAGCATTGGTCATGCGAACAGTCTTTGTTTGGCAAGTGCAGCTCTATTGGATGTGGTGGTGGACGCTTTGAAGAACCGTAGTCCGGGTGAAGCATTGTCGATCGTGGTCATCGTTTGTACGTGTATAGCCATCGGGTTGGCTAGTGCTACGTGGAACATTGCGGCAGGATTCCTCTGACCTTTCTTGTCGTTGTCAGGACCTTTTGGTTTTTATTATTATAAGTGAGTCGTTGGAGATGCCACGAGTCATTGGAAGCTCGTAGTCACTTAAGTGTACTTGTATTTGAGGTGGGGTACGACATTGTAAAAGTACAAAGCGCTTGTTTGCTTTCGTTGTAAACTACTGTCACCGATATAACAAAGTACAAAGAGCTCACCGGGAGTCTAGAAAAGGATTGTGCATCTGTTTCTGCTCAAGTGCATTGTTAGTCCATGTCAGTGGAGTTCTCGAAGATTCCACTTCTTTGTAAGTACTCGAATGATAGCATGTCTCCCCGTAGGTTGGCGTAAGAAATGGCCGTTTGAAAACATGACGACCGCTGATGCTGATTACAGATTTATCAATAGTCGCGCTCTGCTGGATTTAGAATCCTGCTCTGTTGCTTGCGAGGGGAACGTATAATAAACACGATCTTTCGTCTTTCTGTGTGTTTGAAGCACACCGCGTGTTCTCATCCACATGCCAAATTTACAGAGCGGCCAAATTTACAGAGCGGCCCCGTTGTTTGAGCTACAATTCACCGACCAAGGGTAATAAATGATGCAGTGGCGGCTGTAGCTTCATACTCATAATGTACTTGCAGGTTTGTAATGCTCACACGCATCTATCTATGAAAGAACTATCCATGAAAGAAAAAATTGCTGGGTTCATAAGCACGGCTTACACGTATATCGTCAAGATTAAAGGAGCAGTACAAGTGTGCCTTGGTAGTTTGAGCTTTCTAGTGGACCAGAGTAATACTATCATCCCGGTCGAGTATACTGGAGCCCAAGTAGCGAACTACGCGTTTTCATTCAGATGTAAACACCTTGAGCTTCGCACATTTGTGGCTCGCTGTAATAAATAATAATTGAACGTGCTGTCAGACCTTTCATTGTTGTTTGTACGTACTTCGCTACATATCGCATATCTTCGGAAGTATCGACACGCATATGGTGTGACTTGCTGCAGTAAAATTGATAGAAGCGTGACAGCCTAGCTAACGAATTCACGTTTTACGGAACATTTGCATTCTTGCAGCGACGATAGGTCACACACACTATACGCAGCAAATGACTGATTTGTAGTCGTGAAGTTAGACCGAGCGAGGGTCCGGCAAGTCGCTGAGTCATTAACAGATTCGTATGTTGCAGTCATTTGTAGGCTTTTGTCAACTTTGCATGTGCGAGCTCACAATCTAATAGCGTTAGCTGACTTCGGATTGCTCGAGTGTAGATCTAGTCGGTTATATGAAGATCTTAAGATGCATGCTTGTTTGGTGAACAGGTACCTCGCAGATGGCTGTGGGTCCGGCGAACCAGTCTAGTATACGCAATATAGTCGGCTGTCGATGCATGTGATCTGCAAGAAATTTGATCCCAATTGTTGAAAAGAGAGCTATGCCGCCATCGATGCCTGTGCATACGAGTCGTGAGATACGAATCGGGTTGCCCCACGCTACAAGATAAGCATAAACAGGTGGATATAATCTGCTGTGATCATTCAATTTGTGCCGATAGCCGTCGTCATTATCTCCGTATTGCAATTTCGCGTTGAGATAAGGAACTTGCACCACACTGCGCGCGATTTTTTCTCCCATAAGGTCTCAAAGTCAGCAGCGAATCTCTCTCGTTAAGCAGTCTAAACGCTAGACGATTAAAAGAAGAGAAACCAATTGAAATTAAATTTAACGATTTAGCACAAACTATAACGGAAAGAATTGAAAAACCAATTGTTATTTCATAAGAAATCATCTGCGCTGTTGATCTTAAAGCACCTAAAAAAGAATATTTAGAATTACTTGACCAACCTCCAATAATAATTCCATATACTCCTAAAGAAGAAATGGGATACAATCAAGTTGGATGAGAAGCCATTCTACGGTGCGCGTGTTGCACATTCGTACATGACCAGTGTAATTGAAAAAATGAGTCGAGCGATCCGGGATGTGTGTACAGCTATCGTTCGGAGATTGCGGTACTATGTTATCGACACGAGCACATATTCTATTCACGTGTTCATCTATTGTTCAATAGCGGCAAGTTGTGGCTACATTAAGGACTCAATCTATTAGAAGAAAAGGCGCGATCTGTGGCGCCTTCTCAAAGCACTTACTTGTATGCGAGCACCGCGAGTGCACCCAAAGCTTTCGTGACATGCAGTTTCAGACCCAACTCGGCAGCTGTGGCACAGCAAAGAAAAATTCGGCTCTTCATTTTTTCATTCTGTTCGATGCTGAGCCCACTCATCCCGTACTTGCCTAAACTTTGAATTGCATTATCGATAAATTAATTGCAAGCCCGAAGTGTGAAGCTAGTAGTGAGCGTGCGCAAGGTTGAATGCCGAACTTTTACTCGTACTGATCCGTCTGTCTGTCTGTGTGTAGATAACGTGGTTAGGTCTAACTCACCCGTACTAAGTGCGAACAAGTCTTTTCCCTCCTATTAGGTATATAGGTATATTCAAAGTCACTCTTTGGCTAGGTCATTATTGTGACGCACGCACGTGATTAACTCATAAGCTATCAAAGGTGAATATTATCATGTAAGCGAACAGTGGACGCTCATAAGCAAAGGGTGATCGCGTTGTCCTAGCCGAACTGGACTGAGTTGATACATACATTAACAGCACCATACTCATTCTTCAGTGTCTGCTGCTGCTGTACAGTGTTTTGCAACTTGGTCCGGTTCTTTGAACTTAAATCAAGGGCGACCTCCAGAGCGCGCTCCCCTATCTTATATATTGGAATTTTGAGGAAGGTCCACAGGTCTAAAATGAGTTATTTGCTCTTTACTCTAAGCGATTCCCCACGTTCTTATCCAGTTGCACGGTCACCATGAAAGCCTTTTAACTGACACTGGTGGTTTTGCTACATCTCGGTCGACGTTATTCTTTCTGGGGAATGTAAGAAAGCAGCATCACTAGAATGTTGGGTGGGGGCTTCAGCTCGCGTTCACGATTCGACATGGCGTTATCTAGCCGAATCATCCCCAGTTCGATTTTATCGTCGCACTTGTACCATTTCGCATGGGTCCGAGCGCCTGTTCCACAGCGCGCCACGACGTCAATCAAGGTCCAAATAAATGGCCAGGTACTCTGTGCGTTTTATTAGCAATCTATCGGTCGGTATGACGTTGGCTTGCACGGAAACGTCGGTGATTGTTGGTGCTGTCAAAAAGACTCATGCTGATCTTGACGTGTAAGGGACCAAAAAGCCCCGTTTTCCTCTCAACACAGCAAGCAGCTGACTACTCCGTCGCTCATTTTTGGAAAAACTCATTTGAGCTCAAACACCTTTGCAATGATTTACACGTTTGCAAATGACAGCTAGACTTTGCCAGCTTGCTGATACGATCATTCGATTAGATTTTGAGTCGCAGCTTTGCCAAACACGCGGGATGTCGTGCAATTGTGCTGCGACTTTGATCGCCGCGCGGTTGCTCTGCGAAGCGTTAGGCTTATAGGTTGGCGTCGGCGCGCTAAATCGTTTCATTAGACAACAGTTTGCTGTCTCATTGATCAGTATTGCAAGCGGAATCTTGCGCTTCCTCAGACGCTTACATGCGCAGCACGCCAAAAGAAGGTTAAAAGCTTTGACGAAGCAAACTCCATCAATGGCTATATGCCGCTGCTTACTAGTGCCATCATTCTGTTGGCACCTATTTGTAGAGACCATGGTTTGCACTTTCGTGTGAAGCGCTGTAATCAATCTAGCTTGCTATTGACATGCTGTACAGAGTTCATATTTCGAGTCGTTCCAGTCGTGATGCAAATGGTTTTTCGTACACAGCGACTCGTGAAGAAACTGAAGCTCCAGTGGCGCCATCTTAGGCTTCTTTGTCGGCCTTGTCTTTGCCAAATGCGTAGAGAATAATGAACGTCTCGGTAGTTGCTTAGCCCTTTAGCCACGCAATCCACTCGGCAGTAAAGAAGTTGATAGGATCGGTCGTGCAGGAGGAGCCAGGTTCAATAACTGTAAGGCACATTCAGGTACCGTAGCCGCCGGCAGACTGCACCTAACTGGTCTTTTGCCGTTTCTTGTCCTTGTTCAATGCATGTGATCAGATAAAGAAGCACATGGGATGTCATAGTGTTCCTAATATCTGCTCAGGTGATCGCAGCTGCTGATAAGTTTCTGTGCGTTTGCGGCGCATCACATGCAACAAATGCACAACCGTCGCACACCTTTACAGTTGGTGACCACATCAGTTACGCTGTTCAATAAAACCGCATTGCAATCGAGTTGCGGGGGCTACCTCTTCCGACTACTGCAACTCCTTACACTATGAATGTACCCGGAGGCCCCGAATGGTAGCAAGTAACAAACGAGCTTCTCGTTGTCTGCTGGTACCTAGCAGTTGACACAGTAGCACTTGCGATTCTTGAGACGCGAAGTCGTCGTCGACACGAGGAGAAAGCGGATGCGTGCGCTGTCTTTTTTCCTGCGAAGAAGTCTCGTGAAAGATCGCGTCGAGACGCCGGATATCGATAACGCCTTCATCGAAAAGAACGCCACCGAAGCTTGCAGGTGCACGACCCAATTCAGGACTGGAGATCACGGAATTCATTTGGAGCAGGAAAACCGAGACGGTCATTTGTCAGTTCGACAGACGCAGTCGCTTGTTGCCAGGTTGAATGGACGTTAGCGCGAAGTATCAGCACTGGATGGCAGAAAGTCATTGGCGAGCTCGTGACAGCTTTACAGTTCATCCGAATAGAGCGGCAGATGCTGCGCCGCCTTCGAATAGTCCCGTGCTGCCTCGAATTGCGTCGCTTTTAATGAGCGCCGAGCGAAGCGATGATAGAGAGACGAAGGGCACGAGGAGTTTATCAGTGGCAGGAGTTACAGGGGGGAACGATGACGATCGGATCTACTGGAAGCCGAGTAAACTCTTCACTGGATTACAAGGAATAAACGGGTGGCGGTCTTCATCTTACTCCGCTGCTCGGACTTCGAACCGACAACTGTTCCCTTCTGATGTTCCAGCTGTCTCAAGTGTCATGCGTCCTGATGTCTATCAAGAACTGGGCTCAAGAGGTGATACATGTGCTGCTTCAACTACTCATGCCCCACTAGATGCTGCAGTTTTCGTGTCTCGTGTGGATCAGCTTTTGCCTCAGTCTTCTCTGGACGTCGATAAGCGAGGACGTCCCATTTCCGCTGAAAGCTCTCCTTGCTCCTTACCGCAGATACCGGTGCAGCCCATGCTACTTGGTTCTCCAACGATGAGTCAAGAACGCGACTTTGCTGGATGCCGTCGACTGAATTATCCCCACAGCATTGACCCGCTCACGATCCAAAGCCTAGCCAAGTCTTTGTTGATTCCAGCGATCCACCAGGACTCTCCACTGGTCATGAAACAGTTGCGGACTACCAGGGACTTCTTTCATCAAGTGGCACCACCGTACGTTAATGCGGATCACTTCAGTCAAGTTAAGGCACACAAAGTCCGGACGAGTGTCACGAAGCGGCGGCGAGTGGTGACACCGGATACCACGCCTTGCCAGCCCAGTGACGAATCTGAGTACGGGCAGGCCGTGTCCAAAACATCAAAGGCGCTCAAGCGTTCGAGATGTAGCCACGATACCGGGCCTGCTAAAGATAGCGATTTGACCGCGCTCAACGTCCGTGGCAACTCAGAAAGGATGGAGAAGTTTGACTCTCGAATTAAGGTTGGCTCACACCTACGCTACAGTAGAGATGAGGAGGTCGCCACTGATACTGCGACTGCGACTGAGACGCCGGCGCTAGCGCTTAGCATACAACCCAACGTGAAAAAGTGCGAGCCTTCTCCTCATTCGACGATGGCTTTTGATTCCAAAGATCTTCTGACGTCCGCAGGTTTCGTGCGCAACCGTCACGGCGAGGTCGACTGGGTAGCCACGTTCCTGGACGTGGGCTTTGACTCGTCCAGTATATACGCGCTCATGTGCCCTCTACGCAAAGGCCGGTGGAAGTTGGAAGAAGAACGTTATACTCTGGGACTGCTTCAGCTCATTGAAAATGGGACGATTTTGTTGCGACACGGCCAGAGCATTCGCGGCTACATCGGCGAGAAGCTGCATAGTGACGATATGCGAGTGCTCAAGAAGCTCAGCAACTGCAAGATGTTCCACTTTGCCAAACTTATCAATCCGAGACTGGCGGAAAAAGAGGACTTGGATGTGACTGCACTTGGTGCCCACGAAGGGTTAAAGCGATTGGATCGGCTTCGGGGTGAGTTTTTGCGCTCGGTGCAGCTGGAAGCACTTGTAGCAGTTCGCAAACATCTTAGCGACAGCTCGCTGTGTGATTTGCTTAGCGCGCGTGCCTGAATCGAGCGAGCGTATCCCCATGTTCTAAGTATTTGAAGCTGATCAGCTCGCTTGATTTGATTCATCTTTCGGGCGCAAGGACTGAGATGATGCGAGGGTGTGTAGGCACTTGTTTCCATTGGAGCCCCTCCCGTGATAAGGCTGAGCAGTATCTAAGATTGAAGCGAGAATTCGCAAGCGATGTTGTGTGCTATTCAGCTGGAGCTTTACAGGGCTCTCAGGTGTACTAAAGCGAGGCGATCAACACATCGACGGCACCGAAATTACTTTCACACTGCCATAACATGTTAACTGGAGTGACAAACCGTGTCGTTCCGGTACATAACTAGTCGAGTTGTCCGAAGTATGGTGCAGATGCAACGATGAGATACTGTCGGTGCACTGGAAGAATCGGCGGCTGATGTATCAGCAGATATTTGTACAGGAGAGAACGACCTTACTAGCGATGGGGGAAGCACTGTTCTTCAACGCCGTTGCCACAAAGATCATTGCAAGCGACGCTTGTGTTCAAAGATATTAGCAGTGCTATCGACCGCATTCAGAGCGACAACGTGCTGGTATAAAGTACCTGCAATGTAACACAGAGCGTCACACGATAAAAGTCACATTAGTAAAATCAGTTGTGCACGACTTTGATGCCTGGTTGTTGACGACGAAGTGCGTATTTGTCATTTCTATTTTATTCATTCAAATCATGTTCACACGAGGAAGCACGGCGCTTGAATCCATTTTGGTTCCCGATCGGAAGATGGCTGACGTAGACGCTTGAATTGTCAAACAGTATCGGTGTACATGAGGACATCCGTTCTTTAAACCTTAGCAATACTCTTCTGTTCCGCGATGCTACTCAATGAGTGACAATGATATTCGGTCAGAATGATTGATACGACGTCGTTCAATGTGCGGTGTTGGTCCTGCGTAATTGCGTCGACAATTGTATGTATTTCGTAGGATTACTCACGCCCATGCGTATGGATGTTGTAGTGTATCGTTTCCTTCGTCTCCACTCGATTTTAGTGCAATAACTACGGAATACGAGGCCGAGATGGAAGGTATGAATAACACAACAAGCGTCTAAAGTGTCGTACCAACCACTTGTGACGTGGCTTTTTGAATTCTTGCCCGTGTTTGACACACAAGCTTCAACTACTAACGAGCAGCTTGCAAAAGGCATTTTGAGTTATGGGCAGGAGAGGCATCAGTACAAGGAAAGCAGAATTGGAGGCGAAGAGTGCTTCGTTCAAACAACCTAACGACCTGAAGGGGGCTCAGGAAGTCACCTGTCAGCCCTCTTGGTACAACTCGGTCATACTCGTAACGTACCGCATAGGGCGGCTTTGTTGTTACTCGACAACTAACCGGGTTTCTCATGTCGTATCAGAAGCAGCGAGTCCTCTCATTGGAATATGGAAATACCATACTATCAGCGGGATGCGTCAATGACGAAAAGAAAACACGTCACGATCGCAGCAGTCGGTTGCAACATTCGGTTGATGCTGAATGAGCTGAGATTGGCGCCTGCAATTACTTGGTGTCGCACAAGAGCGACGTAGAGATCGCAAATCAAGCAACAAACACGGACGCATGGGAGGAGACACCAGCATATGGCAAACGGGACGCAATGACAAGCGAAGAAATTGCCATTGACATGGCCACACTGCTTCCATCGACGGATAGGAAGTTGACAACGGCGATCAGCAATATCATTGTCGATACATGGAGCAGCTGGTGGGCTTCCCGGGAGGTATGGTGGAGCGTGACGGCTACCGCTAGATTTACTGTTTCGTATCGCGAATGTAATCGCTCACTTGTAAATATGAGCACTTGTTCGAGAAAGATGCAGCCAGCTGAAGGTCAATTGATAATTTACCCTCCGCCACGGCACAAACTTACGAGGAGATGGGTAATGGATACCGGCCTCAAGCAGAACCACCGCCTGGTACCCACCATCAGCTTCGACCGCTCACTAGTGAAATGAAATAGTTCAAGAAGGTCATTGCGAAATAGACTCGGGACATCTCTTTCATAACGCCATTGCACAACAGAAGTTGCAGTGTTTAGCTCTCTTCTTCATCGTATCTTTTAAAATGTATAACTGATCATAAAGAAAGGAGGAGACGTGTGTATCTATCAGTTCGAAGTTGCACAATGCCTGTTTTCGGAGAAACGCTCAACCTCATCTAATGCATCGGCACTCAGCATCCAGTATAGCTTCCAGACGACTTCGCAGCAACTTTACGTATTTAGCAGTGTGCTTGCGCGTCTGTTGACGACGGAAAGGTCTGTAATTCTGGCCGTTCGGAATGAAATTTATGCACCGCCACCCATCTCCACTCCGCTGCCAGATCTCCGATATCAAGTCCAGATAGTGATCTACCACTAAGACGAAGTGGACATACCACCAAGTGAGTACCACTAAGACGGAGTGGACATGCCATCGACTAAGTCTGTTTCCATGAGGGACTTGTTTGTGCTTGTAATTGTTGCCACATCTCCATAATGGATCCGTTGTTGCTTGTTGGCTAGCTAGACATCCCGATGCATATACGTTGCGGGGATGGTCCTGTCATTTTGCAAGGCAAATCTGTTCAAATGCAATGGTTTCGAGAGGGTTGAAGAAATGGCTAGACATCCTTTTACGCAAAGGCAGTGTTGAAGACGAGGATTTAGACGCATAGGCAAAGAATTGTGGGGGAGGTTCTAGTGGAATTAGCAATGAAATTACGGGCTCGTAAGTCGTTACTTTCGCGTTGGCATTGCCAACATCCATTGTAGGCCTTGGGCATCCCCACTAATGCTTACTCTATCCGATCCATTGCGGCAGTTGGTACTGACCCTGATCTTGTACGGCGGGTCAATCTGATCTTTCGTATCTTGCTACTCTAACATTCGGTACGTTAGTCGTGTCGTGACTGAGAAATGATGCATTCACGTTAATCCCGCAGACGAGGAAGTCGGTGCTACAAATTAGCTTGACGCCAAGCTGATGTGATACAAGAAAACGCCGGTAGAAGTGGCCTTCTCCTATTCGATCGCGTGCCCAGCGATCGAGCTGCTGTATGTGCGGAGTCAGGACATTGTCCTGAAACTTCTTGCCATCGCATAAATTGCTGGAAACATCTCTGAGCTGAGCCAAACACACTTTTTCTTGACCGCTTCTACAAAGATTAGCTTCTCTAGATGCCATTGAGATAAATAACCTATTATGTAACACGTGTAAGCACGCTTGTATTCGTGTATGCGGCCCAGAAGTACAGAGAGACCGTTGTATTTGATGGTATTAAGAATTTTCGTTCCAATTAGCTCTCCGTTAAGATGAGGGCAACTTTGGAAAGGTTAGCTGACCAATCTGGTGTCGTCTTTCATCTGTAGAAGGCGGCCTTGTGGTCTTTACAATGTGCAAACTACTATCCATTGTTCTTGTACCTACTGAGTGTCGCTCGTATAGTTCATGGCTTCGTGGCAAGTGTGCTAAATTCAGCCTTGACAATCGAGTTTGAAAAGCAACTTATTTTCAGAGAAGTCGACGGCAGCGAGCTGGATCGCACCTTGCTTACTGTACACACCAACCGCTTTATGGTCATTTGCACCGGGACAAAGGACAGTCAGCCATCTGCACCGAAGTCCCACTCAGTCATTTGACATACCGGTGAGATCGTGAGGTGAATATTTGGCAAAACGAAGAGTGTGACAACATCGTTAATATACCTAGCCTAGCGCACGACAGCAAAAAGGGCATACATGGACAGTACAGCGGCAGGCCATGGTCAACGGACGCGCAGCATACTGCTAAGTAGACGAAATTCCTGCTAATTCGTACTAGATGAAAGAATAGATGCTGATTGCAGTCTCATTAGATAAAGATGACCACCTATCCTACTATTGCCCAGGTCTTCTGGCTTCGCCACACTATCGGGTCCGGTAGTTTCTGGGATTCCAAATATTGGAGGATAGAAACGAGCGAGCTCCAATTATTGATAAAATAATGTGTCCCATCATTTGTACAAGATTCATCTTTATTGAGCAATTCAGCTTTCATAGTTTTGTTTATTCTGATCGTTATCACAGTCCAGGCCATTGACATGCTTCGGTCGGCGCTCAATTCAACTGCAATAGTACCGTTGACAACTGACGTTTTTGTGTGATGGAGCAGGTCGCATTTGACCGATCGTAATGGCATACCGATCCTGTACTAACTAACACATACGAGCACTTAACACCGTATAAATTGCGTCGGAAGATATGAGCGATGAAGTTACGAACGAAAGCGCTAACTGCCATGTAGATCACCTCCGACTCAAGATCGAGGAAGATTTCGATGTGGAGATTTTTTTTTACTATGATCATGACCAAGGCCGCGTTCGGGACATGGACACCGGGACAGTTTCAGGCTTCTGGAAGTGTCACATGCTCAAAAGGATCGACGAGAAGTGCAGAGGCGTTCTCTGCTTCTTCTAAATTGTGCTTGCCGTATTCATCGGCATGAGATCACTAATGTGCTGCCACAGTAGCAACAGTGCTGACGTCAAACAGTATGACCAGTCATGATCGTTAGCCATTACATTACCTGGTTATGACGGTAAATGGGCACTAGGAACTGCGTGCTTCCGCTATTCTTCCTTTAAATTAGTTATGTCGGGCCTTGTACTGACCAGCATGGAAACGAAAAGGGCCAAACTTTTCCAAATCTCAATGGCGTGGCACTTCTTTGAGCGAATTCTTGGTAGTCTTTACCCATCATTTCTCGCATGATCAAGTACCACCGTTCCCGCGCCCGCAGCGGCGCCTAGTTGCCTCTGCAGGCGGAGCAAGCTAAATCACAATTATGCACTTTGATAATTTGACAGCGCAATATTCGGGATGGATCCTTCTTCTGAATGCAGATCGCATTGCTACATTACCTTATTATGTGACAACATAATTTCTTGAAACATTTTTGTTACAGTTTGAGGCGAGCAATCGAGCTAAACAGGTCGAATTCGTGGGTATACATCAAAGGGTGGCTGTATACCTATGATTCCCATTTTTCCCCCCATACATCACCGCATATAAAAAGTTGAAATGTGCCTAAAAATTATCATGGACCGCTGGTATCCGTCACTTCTGTTGCGGAGTATATGATTGGGATCCTAATGCACACCAATACATCTTTGCGCCATCTTCTCTACTGGAGCAACCTTGGGTACTGCTTATCGCTCGGTATGTGTTTCCTTCGACATCTCGTACCTAACAATCTTGATGCTAATCTGCAAGATATTGCTTCGTTCTGTTGCACACTAGTCACTTCAATAACTAGTCGGTTGGTCGACTTAAACAAGCTAGTGCTGAGATGTGATTTATTGGCAGAACCAAACAGGCCAGCAAAAGAGTTGGGCTCGACTCGATCACTGAGAAGAGGTTGGAAACTGATTAACACAGACAAAAGGTGAGGGGCCTTCCACGGGTCGTAAATAAGACAGTCTTCTCGAACAGTAAAATTTATGTGAAGTGATGATCATTAGGAATCATTATGTTGCTTCTTCTCTTGCCTCCTTATCTCCCGTCGACCAACAAATGTGAGCACGCTTTGAAATGCACGCGTTCATCGGTCGTGTATTGCACCGTATACTTCAGACACAATCGCATCTGGTCAGTATTTCATTATGATTCCGCCGTGTACCACCGCTAAAGGTTCGCCGACGATACTATTTGGCATAGTCATGGTTCATCGGGCACATTACACTGCGCCTCACAATGAGTCTGCTCTAAAAGTGCCCACTATCTATGTTTAGAAAGGCAGCGCATGCTTATGCTGTTGATTCTTGCAAGAATACGAGCAATACCGGTAGCCGCCTACGTAGACTTTCGGGGCACACTTGGACAACCATGATCATATTTACGTTTTCGTCGCAAATTAATGAGAACCTGCACCTGAAGGAGATCTCGATTGCATCTGGACCACTATCATCGTATAACCACCGCTGTGGTACGACTGGACGAACACGAGACTCACAACAAGTATCAAGGAAGTGAATTAGATTGAAATGCTTGGTTGCAACGGTATACGGACTACGTAAGTTGACTTATTATAGCTGAAATCAGACCCGTTGATACTATTATACCGAATTACACAAAATCGATGGCGTAGCTCCACACGTCCAATGTTAAAGTCGATTGCTTGCGCTTTGTGTCCATGCTTAAAATCCTGAGATGTGTTGGACGTTGGTGTACAGTCTAGCGAATCTCCAATGCAACGGATAAACTTCTTTTGAGGTCTAAGTAAGCCACGAAGTTGGATTCTCTCTTTTCTCATTTAATCTGCGCATAATTCTGTTCGTACAGTTCCTTGCGTTCAGCTGGAGGAACAAGATGGCAGAATGTACACAAGCTCGAGCACATTCGCATTCCCGAGCTATGGGCTTCGTTACCGCTAGATACGGGCCTGGTCTATCTTGAATAAGAAAAGCTTTTATTGACAACGCTGATGACGGTCTGCATCTCCACATCGTTGGTTGTTGTAGGCCATCTGGTCGTCACTCCACGTCGATTTTGTGCGAAATATTGGTCTCTGCCTTTTTTTGCTGCATCCGAGAGTTCGAGAGGTACCACACTGCGCTTTTCTTGCAATGGGGACATACAGGAAGATTTGGAGCTGGTTAGAAATGCTTTTTACGGGGTGATTTAAGAAAAAGCAGCTTATCTACTAGCGCCAGCATGTAGGAAACCAGCGAGATGTCGGGGACCTCCTTTCGAGAACATAAATCTGTAAAAATGTTTGCTGGCTTTCTGAACAAATGTTGCGGTACGAAGTACCAAAAGACTGTGAGTTTGTGAGGCTGAGCCATTATCAACAACATGTGCACCGCCATTTCAGTATCAATGTGTCGACAACTGCTGGCAAAAGCAGCATCAACTGCTGCTTTTGCCACTCGAGCTGTTCGCACCAAGTTGCAGGAAGTGTTTCAACACGGTCACATTGCGGCGGTCATGCAATAACCAATCGATTTTAAAAACTGAGTGACATCCAGTACCTTGACTTGTTTTCGCAAGTCGTCCAAATTCTTCCAGTTCCGTTCGTACGATGTCCACCAGCTTGAGCCAATCTGCCGGCTGACGTTGGTGGTGCTTTGCATTAACTTTCTTATCCAGCTTGGCAAGGATGGTGAGCTGGAATGCATAAAGACCTATTTCCCACACCTGTGCAATCAAAGACGTAAGCATTTATCCACAAAACACGAAACGGGCGTTGACGTACCTGGTGTTTCCGGGCCATGTAAGACCTAGAAGTTTTCTTCGTGCATTCACCGGGCTCTAGACTGCGATGGACGGTCTTGACCATTTTATGTAGAATTCGGTGGATGCTTTCGTGAAAGAAGCGCATACCATAGTTCACGAACGGTAACATCTCGACGAGGATTGTAAATCGGTGCGCTGTAAACATCAGCATTTGGAACATGTTGATGTGAATGGTGTCCAGCGAAAGCAACTCGGGATCGAAGTACAGTGCATGCCAACGCTGGCGAATTGGAGAAATCACTTTGCTCACGAAGAAATCTCGTGGCGCTCTTGTGTCGTTAAGTGGAATTGAGCTATGAAGCAACGAGCTGCTCAGTCTGCAAGAATAAACGAGCACGTTAGTTATTGGCCGCAAAAACAATCGAACGCAGCTGGACTTACTTCTCATAGTTGACGTAGACCTGAAGTCGGTTGGGATTTATTAGCATGCCACACCACGATATACCACATTCCGATGCTGACGATGCAGATTTCATTTGCTGATTTGTGCCGGCTGCGGTCTCAAAATTTGCTTGGCTTTTGGCCGGATTCACGTAACATCCATACTCGATATTGCCTTCGTGCATCACGCTGAAGAACTTCTGCGCTCGTTTTAGGTCTGTCGTGATAAACATGAAGTCGTCCGTATAACGGAACAGTTCTTCGTGTTGACAGCAAGACACAGGGTCAAAAGTCGGATCGTGTACTTTTGGCAAACGTCTGCGAAGCACTCGTCGCTCAAAATGAGCATAATACATGTTACACAAAATCGTGGAGAGCACGGAACCTTGTGGGATCCCCCATCGTTGAACGTAGTCGCGGCCATCTATCTCGACGACATTCGCGAGCATATGGTCTTTCAACAACCGAAGGGCTTGCGTTTTCGTGAGGCAGTCATAGACAACACCGTCCGCATACATTGCGTTCTTCTTCGCAGACTGCGCTACAACCTCGTTGAAACTAAGGAACTCGCCGGATGGGTATGCTGGACGCTCCAGCTTGAAATGAAACGACTCATGTGGTAACAATCTTTCCAGATCGATATTCGACGGGATCGGAGCAACTTGACGACCAACCCAATGCTTGCGGATGAGGTATTCATCTTCTCGCATAGCCTTCTTCAGTATCTGATACAGCTTATGAGGTCGGATTGTCTCGAAACAGCGTTCAATGTCTACTGTCACGCAGTAAGCCATTGGTACATCCCGAGAAGTACGCTGCCGCTCCCTGCATCGAGGGCAGGAGGATATCTGACCGAACAGAGGCTTTACGCGCTTGTAGATATCGTCAATGTTCTGTACCGATGCTCCAATAAGTCGCTTAGGCTGTCGCTCTGCCTCGAATGCTAGCACTCGATGGACGGTTTCCAAAGATCTGTTTACTGAGCACTTGGTTCGGTCAACAGCTGTGGACAGATTCATGAGCGGCCGAACCCCAGTAGTCTTAGGCAACAACCTTAGTCGAGAAGTTCCTAGTACGCGTTGACTGTGGTTGCTTAATGAAGTCTGGGTACTCAACGACTGCAGGATCCCCCCTTCCAAGTCATCGAGAGCTAGCGCACTACAGCAAAAGAACGAGGTGGTCAAAGCATCGCAGCAATGTTTACACACATCTGTTGCTTACCTGATTGTATTCCAAACCGGGCGCTGGTAGTACGCAATCTCATTCGCCGATCCCTCAGTCTCTGTAATATAAAACAAGTTCCGCAAAACTGGGAAGACCAAGACTGACGTCATCCAGTATAGCAAGTCCTCGAAGAGCTTCTTGCGCTTGACTCGTTCGTTCGGTGGGCTAGTAACAGAAAACATACGTTAGATGGACTCCACTTTGCGCAAAGCTGTACGAGCGCAATACCAAAACGTTGCACTTGTTTGCACTTTCGTCCATTCCACATTGTGCACCTGAAACCTATCGGTGCACTGCATGGAACACCGTCAGCAATTGATTCTGATTTATCACGCTCGAGGACTACTGGCTCACTTTTGAAAGCGAGAAGATGTCGAATTTGCGAGAAAAAATGAGCTTGTGCAGCAGCATCTTCACACACTTCCAGTTTTTCTGCGTATCACAGCTGCCCCATAATTCTTTTGGAATGACTCGAGCAACAAACTTACGTACTAGTCGATAGATCTTCTGTTTGGGTGTCGTAAAAGTCAGCAATTGATCGATATCCGCCTTGTGTCGTTGCAGTTTGGTCAGGTCTGTCTGCTCGTGAACGCGAAGCATCTTTACGCTGCTAGTGTCAACGTTTTTCGGCTTCTTTTTACCGCAACAGTATGTACCATTTCCACGTTCTGGTTCAACCACTGATGCATGGGACAGCATGCTAAGTGCCTGCTCTCTTTGCTTGCGTTTACGATCGGAGCTCGGTGTCACGACTTCGCTTTGGCTCAAGTATCCGTCATCCAGAGATTTCTGTACGATCGGAAAGAGTATAGGCTGGTCACACACTTTCGCTTCAGCAGCTTTCTCTGCCAGTTTACGCTTGATGCTTGGATTGTCCGCCATAAACTTTCGGAATCCAGCGTTCAAAGGCGTAAGAGTCTTCGCAAGAGCTTGGATCTGACACGCGTTGAATCTTGATACCATGGCCTGTATCGTCGGGATCAAATGAACCAACCGCTTTGGTAAACGTTTTCGACCGGCTACGTCAGGAAAGATTGATCGAAGTAATCGAGATGCTACAGTACGACTGATTGGATTGCCCGTTTTGAGCGCTTTTACCAAAACATGCGAGCCCGCAAACACTCGATCTTTTTGGAAGGAGCGAGCATACATGATGCGGTGAATCGATACAGTGCGCTTTGCACTGTCGTCTCCATAGTGACCCTTTTGCTGACGCAGGCTTTTTCCCGCCAGCTAGTAAGTGCGTCCAACAAAACATTAGTCCCACTTCCACTTGACACGGTGGACTTCATACAAAAACAGTTACCTGCATGTAGGAAGTTGGGCCTTCTTTCAGCTGCACCAAAATGGTATAGTTGAGCAGCAAATGCATCATGAGGTCATCTCCCATGAGCTCGTGCAATGACCCCCACAGCGGCTGCTTGAGCGCAGCTACCAGTGTATTTGGGTAGTAACACACGATCCCATTGGATTGCGTCACGCGGTGACCTGAAGCCATCGGCGTTTCTTCTCGATACCCAAGCGTCAGGACATTTGCGTCTTCCCAATTTATCAACCGTTTGCGTACAACGAGCTGCTCGACCACATGATGTACCAGTTCTGTCTGTCACACATAGCAGCAAGAACGTGTCACTAATAGATTTTCGAGGTTGTTTTTCGACTCGCTATTTTTTTTTATACATAAATGTGGCAAATAAAACCGTGTTGTCATGATGATGTTACATGTGACATGCATAGGTTGCAGTTCCACGGAGATCGAGGAAATGGGTTCACCCCCGCGGGAAGTGACTGGATGAGAAACGTATGGTCCAACGCAAAAGAGACGTCGGGGTTGGTCACTCGCGAGAGGTTTTGCTGAAGCGGGACGGCTTGTTTCAGGTTGCCATCTTTGGAAGCGCTACGGACACAAAGTTACAATCTAGCAGTAAATGGTGGTACTCAACAGCTCTCACCTTTCGAGGAACGAGCGTAGCGTCACTGCTTTTGCAAGCAGCGCTTCCATTTAGAGCGATTGATTTGTGTAGATGTGGACTCTGTAGATGTGGACTATGCACGTGAGGATGTGAGTCTTCCATAGTTGATAAACGCATACTTGACACGTATTATTTTCGGAAAGATGCAAATCGAATGAATCGACTTGACATTCGACTGATTCAGTCATTGTCTGGTAGACACCATCCCGATACCAGGACCTCATTATACGGTCGTTTAGTTTCTCCTCGTTGATCCCTCATACCTGCTTCGATGTTGATTACTATGTGAAAAGATGCGGCAAATGACTTGAAAAGGTTCAGCCATGGCAACGCTCTCTACATAGCCGCGAACTGGTCGGCGTGAAAGTCACGGTGCCACTTGACATGGGCTTACCGATTTTAAGCTGATGCATAGTAGTCAGATCACCAATATCACCATGACTGATGCCACGTCCATCGAAATGTGGCATGGACAAACGGAGTCAGATAATGTAAATTGCTGCGTTTGCATTCTATTTTGCGTTCATTGTAAGGAACTGCTAGCTCTCACTTGCTTGAAAAAAAGTGGAGAGTAGAAGCCCCTACCAAGCTTGACAGATCGCAAGCACCTGCAACATTGCACGGTAAAGGCTTCTTGAATAAAGAGTAAAAGGAAGGCAGAGTTGGTATCAATTTCTCGCACAAGCTGATACGACTGGAACTATGAGTAATCCGAATTATCTTTATGCAGCAGCTATGATATGTCGATCATGCTCATGGAGACCTACCTGTGACGAAAAGTTGTCGGGAAACTCACGCAAATGCCACACTTAATTAATCGCGTTTTGTTCGGCATCTGTGAGTGCTGACCGATTATTCCAGCACCCGCTACTCATTTACATCGCTTTCAGACTTCTGATATTACGATTTGCTGATTTGCACCAGCTTGCCATGAGCGTATGTCAATGCTGTTCGACAGAGCTTACGGTCCGATGGATCTGCGACTTGCTACTCTGCTGTCATACCTAGTGCACCACGCAACATGTGATTTTTTCTGAACAAAGTTGAGATGCCGACAGCTAGTCCTGTACCAAAACACCGATTAGAGTAAGTTGCTGGAGACTCTTTATTTTTAGGAAGGTCGTACGTTACAGGTGATGCTGAACGTAAGTGTGTGACTGATCGCGCCGCGAACATGCGGAGTCTGTACACATTCAATAATTCTGTAGTACCGCATATCAGCCAAGTTTGTTTCAAAACAAACGCTTTTTACAACGACCCCTATCAAAAAGTAGCAGAAAGAAAAAGCCAATCAAACGAAACACAAATCAATCCTGGCACGAGATATTTCCGAGATCTGTCCCTCGAACTGTCCCCACCGTTGCCCCTCAAACTGTCCCCACCGTTGCAACAACTACTTCACAGCCCCCCCTTGTCCAGCTCGAACTGTCCCCACCGTTGCAACAACTACTTCACAGCTACCTCTCCCTTGTCCGCGCAAGTGCATCGCCCCTCCCCTCCCTTCCACCTCCCACCCATTCCTCAATTGAGCTTTTCAGATATACCGCTTCGAGATCTCCCGCCTCCTCCTCCATCCCTTATGCTGCGCATCGCTCGTCTCGCGTCGCCTCCGCCTGCCCGTGCATTCGGCCTGCGCTCCGTCTCCACTGCAACGCTCCCGTCGCTCCCGTACGACTTTGGTGCATTGGAGCCGTCTATCTCGGGCCAAATCATGGAGATCCACCACCAGAAGCACCATCAGGCATACGTGACCAACTACAATGCAGCGCTGGAGCAACACGCCGAAGCCGAAGCCCACGGCGACCACGCCAAGATGCTGACTCTCCAGCCTGCACTCAAGTTCAACGGTGGGGGTCACGTCAACCACTCGATCTTCTGGACGAACCTGTCACCTGCCCACGAACATGGAGGGGGTGAGCCCCAGGGAGAGCTGCGCAAGGCCATGGACCTTGAGTTCGGCAGCTTTGACGCTTTCAAGAAGGTCATGGCGGCCAAGTCGGTAGCGGTGCAAGGCTCGGGTTGGGGCTGGCTGGGGTTTTCACCCGAAGCGGAGCGCGTGGGCGTCGTGACGACGCCGAATCAGGACATTTGTGCGACAACGGGCTACGTCCCGCTGCTGGGCATTGACGTGTGGGAGCACGCGTACTACTTGCAGTACAAGAACGTGCGTCCAGACTATCTCAATGCCATTTGGGACGTGGTCAACTGGAAGAATGTGGAGGAGCGGTACCTTGCAGCCAAGTCCAAGTAGGGTCTGCACAGAGAGACTGGACGGGCGTGGCGTGAGGATGCCGTAATGAATGCTGTGGTACCGAATGTAGTTGGCTGATCGTCCAAGGTGGTTTGTCCTTTGTAGTGGGCGTGGTACGAGTGGCACTCACGTTTTTCTGCTTATCGAGACGTCTGATGGCTCTCAAAGAATAGTCACTTTGTCTTCGTCAGCTGTGTGCCTAGCCCCCAACCACTTTCCAAGGTGTCGGAACTCTCAGCATTTGCCCATTCTTTTAGATGCCACTCGTTTGCAACCGACGACTTGGCATCCCCTTTCGTGCGATGTGTCTCGAGCTTTAACCGAAAAGTCAGAGGTTCCGCACTTTAGGAGTTCACAGCTGCTGCTCGAGGAGCTGCATAATTGCGTGTTATTCAAACGCTCTTGTGAGACAAAGTGGATGGCTTTCGCATATCTCAGTTGTTGTGCATTTCTAGTTGCCTCAGAAGACGAAGAGATAAGTTCCCGCCATTCAGATCGAAGACGTCCCTCGCTGCTTGTCGATTTTACGGAACGCTACAAATGACTTGGCGTTGTCAAGCACATCACCCATAACTCGATCGTCATCACAGAGGAGCGTTGCTTCGGCCAAAAAGCGCTTGTCTTCTGGCACCACTAGGTAGTCTAAAATCTTTTTTGTCGCAATCGGTACGACAGGTTGCAGCAAAATTGCTACATAGTTGAGCAGCATAAGCAACTGTAAGAAGGAATGGAGCTCACACCTCAAAGTAGGCTGGTCACGTACCACTCATGCGCGATGCATCGATAGCAAGGTACAACACAGTGTCCAGTCGCTCTTTCGTCGCTTTGTATTCTGCAGACCCCACATCCTCAGAATTTCGTACGGCTTTTGACAGAACCCAAGGTTCCATGATGGTAAAATATCTGATCACAACACTGTGTTTAGCCTGGAGAAATACTCCATCGTAGCTTGAAGGATCGACAACGTACCGATTAACGTCGTGCAGGAAAAGCACGATTTCTTCCAAAGCGCGCGCGAACTGTTGACATTGCCAAGGATAGTAGCCACAAATTACGAATAACCAGTGCTAACAACGACCAATATATAATACGTACATCAGGCGCATCGAAAAGCTTTCCGACCTTGGAAGCAAGAGCCTGCCCCTTTGCCACCAATTCCTTATCCTCTGCGACCAGACGGTCAGGCTGAGGACGTTTTGGCACGATACCGTTTTCAAGTACTGCAATACCAGTGCTGCGCGAGACCAAATTCCCAAGTGTGTCGGCCAGCTCGCTATTCACGCGGTCCACGAGAGCTTCAGCGTTAAAGTCGCCATCGCTCGTGAGCACTCCTTCACGCAATAGAAAGAACCGGACAAAATCGGATCCGTATTTCGACAGCAAGTCATGTGGATCCACCACGTTACCAAGACTTTTCGACATTTTGATGTTTCCAACTGTCCAGTGTGCATGTGCCACGACTTTTTTCGGCAGTGGAAGTCCTGCTGCCATGAGAAATGCTGGCCAGTAGATGGCATGGAACTTGAGAATATCCTTCCCTACGATATGGTAATCTGCAGGCCACGCATGATCGACATTGCCAGGATACCCAGCACTCGTCAAATAGTTTGTTAACGCATCCAACCACACATAGACACTGTGCTTGTCGTCATCTGCAACACAGAGATTGTTGGAATCCATTGACAACAAATAAACTCCAAACATTTACCTGGGACTTGGATCGCCCACTTAATCTTCTCCCTCAACCGCGAGACCGACAAGTCCCGCAAGCCTCCTCTGACAGCAGCTCGCACTTCATTGTATCTAGCCTTCGGTACGATCACCTCTGGGTTCTCCTCTAACCACTGCAAGAGTCGATCCTGGAAAGCCGAGAGTTTGAATTTGTAGTTCTCTTCACACAACCGCTCGACAGCATGTCCACTTTCCTTGGAGACTTTCATAAAACCCTCACCATTTGCATCCATCTTGTCCTCCACTTGCATGTCGGTCAAGAAACTCTCGTCTGACTTGCAGTACCACGACTCGTGGTGCCCTAGATAAATGTACCCATTATCGCGAATCCTCTGCCAAAAAACCTCAACTGCTGCCCTATGGTCCGTGTCACTCGTCCGGATAAAGCGTGAGTAGTCAATATTCGCGTTTTGAAACACCTCGACAAAACGTGACGAGACGTCGTCACAAAAGGCCTTATAATCTGTCATGCCCCGACTTTCAGCTGCCTCTTGAATCTTCAGTCCGTGCTCGTCTGTGCCTGTGGTAAACAACACGTCGCGCTTTTTCACTTGATGCCAGCGAGCGAGGGCGTCGGCCAGCACGGCCGAGTGCACGTGGCCAATATGCGGAGCAGCGTTCACATAGAAAATAGGAGTCGTGATGAACGTCTGATTGGACTTATGACGTGATGTGAATGGGCACGAGTTCACGCACAGACGACGTTGTAGACGATGTAGATGCAGCATATTGATCCGCACCAGTCAAGTGAGCTATTGGTGTTACTACCGGATTTGAGACATAAAACAAGAAGAGTCCGGAACAAATTATTGTCCATTGATAAAAGGTACAAGTGCAGAATGAGGATACTTAAGCAACAACGGGGCCCTCTCGTCATCCTTTTGGTCCAGCACGGCAATGCCTCTGATAACTTGTGTGCTTGATTGATGGAGATTATACAGATAGGGGAGCTAGCTCTGAAGCTCGTCTTTTTATTTATTTAGTCCATAGAACAGAATCAAGTTCTGCATTTTCCCGTTCCTTGCGCTCTGCGTTAATCAAATAATCGAATTGGACAACCCTAATTTATCGACTTATTTTTTAGGTACTTTGATGCTTTACTTTTTATAGTCTCACAGTCGAGACTGAGCATGTCGATTCTGCAGATCCACATAGAGTATCCTCTCCGATAGGTGAGAGCCCTTGAAATATAAACTCGCACTGGTTTGGTAAAGGTGAATAACATCGCGCCCTAAGCCATGTCTCTCTCACCTTCAAGAGGACCACTCCAAAAAAAGCCCCGACGACGGCACCTCGTTCATAATAAAATACTTTTAGACCATCTTTCATGTTAAAGTGTATATAGACGTTCGTGGGAGCAAAAGTACACAACGTTTTTTACTGCCCACCCTCAATTATGCTCAAGAGCTATAATATGTCTTCTTCACGAATCGCCTGTTGTGGACAACATTGCACGAGCATTGTAAAAGTCACTGCTTTAACCTCGCTGCCTTGCTATCGCCCACACTTTATTGCCGTTTATCTGTTGAATGATAGCCTTCCGGCAGCGTCAGCTCGTCAGGCGCGTGGCAAGATCGTCAACAAAATTATCTCTTCTGTAATCTGACTAATGCCTTCCGTGTTTCTCTTTGAAAAGGACGTCAGAAGTACGATAGAGTAGATGATATGAGATGGAATGGACATATTTCTAAAACGTAATGCAAACAATTTGACAATTTACACGGTTTCGAATCCCTTTACTTATTTAATGAATGGGGTGAAGGCTCGTTAGCAAAAAGTGAAGGCTCACTAGCGGCTCCCTTATTGCATTAGCAAGATCGTTTTTTTCATTACATTGCCTTGGCAGATAAATTGTCCTGTAGTAGTAATTGCCAGCTCATTGAGTGATCTAGTTCATCACATTAAACCAATAATGCGAGCCAAGACATACATGCACTGAAGGGTGGGCAATATAAAAAAGTACGTTTGTATTCACACATCCATAACAGAAGTTTGAATGGGATACAGAAGATCAACTACGTCAAATACAGCTCTACTCTTCAACTTTACCAAGTGCTCTTACTTTTGTACAGATATTATAATCTGCGCAAACGTGTAAGTGAGGTCTCGAGGATCCTACTTACAATGTTTCCAGTGTAAGTAGCTTAAACCGTGTCAGTGCAATTACCGGTGTGTTTCTCCGTTGCAAACTGAATTTGCACATACTTTCCTTTGCGGAAGCTAAACTGGTAAGCCCTTACAAGCGCTCGACTCTTTTGAGTTTATGTGTATTTCTTCTTTCAAATAAGTAACTAGTATTGACTAGGTATCATGCATCATGGATCCACAACACACTTTTATAACCCTGATAAGAAAAGCCTGGCGAAAAAAAAATCCATCTCTATGCGACATTCTCGTGTACATTTTTACCCCATGACCAATAAGGTACTCTGTTACCCATGACATATTTTAGTATCATCGCATTATGCATATCGGGATCAAAGCATCCACAGCATTGGGATACCGTAACTTTCTGTGTGCGCAAAACATGATTATTCTGTATTCGATTAAGTGTACGGCAGGAGCGAATCAATCGAAGTAAAAATCGATGGATAGTAACCTTTCGTTGGCCTACCTACGCTTTGTAGCTTTCCGATAACCTGGATAACATCACAAAATGCATGTGTTTGTCTTCCAGATCATTTGTGTAATTATCATGGATTATTTACATGTCATTATCACAAGTAGATCAGGAAAATGTAATATGTGATATCAACGACAAACCTCAAATGTACACGATCGAAAATTATTATGAAGTTGCTTCAAAATCAAAATCAGCCAAAGCTCTATAACGAGCGACATAACCAGTAACGGTATTTGTATGCCAAAGAGCAACTTTAAAGTACCTCGTTGGACACTCAGTGTTCCACCGCCGTCCCCCACTCAAGATTGGAGTCCTTGCATTATGCACATACCAGACATTACTACCCGATTGGCCTGACTTACTGTAAATCGAGACACAAATCCAGTCTTCATTTTAGAAGAAGCATCACTTATCCTAGCTATCTCTTGTATGAGCAAGTAGATACCTAAAGGAATACCTGGTTTGAAACTACATGTACGTCTGTCTTAGCAAAATGTGCAACGAATTATTTGGTCCACTAAATTACCGAGGATCTTTACCTGATAGCTGAGGCGTGGGTTCATATAGCACTGGATGCGCTCGATGGCTCCGACCGAAACAGTGCGAGTTTGTATCGCGAAGGTCGATACTCCATTCAAGATAACGATGCCAGAAGGCACCACAATGAGAGATAGCAGTGTAGCGTCCAATAAGAATAGCTGATGATGTAGTCGATGGGAAGTTTACAACTATGTTGGCTCTTATGATCATTTTGCAGCAGAGGTGCTAAGTGACACGAATAAAAGAGGTGCTGCAATTGTCGCTGATATATTTTATCAAGAGGACATGAAGCGGTCCACTTAAATCGAGAAAAAGTCCAAGCATGAGGCTCGTTGGCGTATCCAATGTCATATTTCGAAGTTCGAACTACGCTGTTAGCGCAAAATAGCTCTCAGTATCTTAATGACAGACTGAAGTGTAGTGAAGCTCTATCAAATAACGCGCGCGCTGCAATATGTACAAAGACGAACAGAGAACAGATTATGAAGTATCTTGAGCCCAAAGATTCAAAGAGTTACGAGTACCAAGAAAGTTATTATTTTATATTCTCGAAGTTTCCAACTTCTATACGGCCGATATCCTATGATTAGTAAGAAAAAAGATTCGTTGGATGATATTCTATGGCTTTGAAAAAGATGCTCATAAGAATCAGATTACTTCTTTTGGTTTACTGTGTAACTTTTGAATCACGTTATACCGCGATGGAAATTGTGATTCTTCATTCTGGATATAGCACCCTAATTAACGGAATCCGCACTCAAACGCACTCACAAACAACTTGTTGACTTTGAGGTATATATAGGACTGACAGCTATGTGTGTACTGCACTCATGTGGAGAAGCGCGAAGGAAGAATGACGTAAGTGTAGATCGCGCCATCCTCCTTAAGTACGAAAATCAGTTTGATTGGTGGAGCGCGTACGGAGATGGGTCCGTCGGCACTAATGACGGTGTCACATGACTGAGTGACAGGAAATGACTGTAGGAATTATTTAGAGTAACCCACTTAACGGTCACGAAGGGGTAAAGGTCAAGCGGAGTGTGTCATGATGATCGAGGTATTTTACGTACCCGCCTTGGATCGCATACCGCGATCCGGTGCTCCGCGTTCCGAAACTCCGCGATCTGGTACTCCGCGATCCGGTACTCCGCGATCCGGTACTCCGCGATCCGGTACCTTACGATTCGGTATGGGGCGATCCACTATGGATTATCTGCTGTGGACCACAGGATGTAAGAGGCGAATGACATCTACATTCGACCTAGCGAACAGATAGGCATAGCCATATGTTTTAGGTTTGGTTGGTTGACATTAAACAGAATTGAATTTGCTACGAAAGACACGCGTCGACTTCTCCCGGGCATGATCTTTAGCCTCCCGTTGAATAGAGAGTCACCCACGTCTCAAGTGAGCTTCGCCTTCGGATTGTTTGGCCAGGGGGAAGGTTAATTTTCACCCTTCCCCCTCAACTGCGATAGGTCGCAGTGAACCTTACGGTTCAGATTCAAGATCGTGAGACGGCTCAAGTGGTCAGAAAGCTCGCGTATCAAGCATCACCCCTGACATAGGCGAATCTGGGAGAGCACCCAAGTTACAAGCGATCGAGTGAATAATTTCCACGCGATCCGCACCTACGTTGACCGGGTGAAGTATTTCCACCCGATCAACACCTATCCTTAAGACGGTCAAGTTCAGCTTCAACTCAAGTCCACCAAGAAGAGCACAACCCGACCCACCGACGGGTACAAAAGGTAAGCAAGAACCAGCAGAACACGGAATTGGGGTACACCTCCGTTAGTCGGTCGTCCGGGCGCCAGTGGAGAGTCAAGATCGTCTCAGGAAATAAGCGATCACAACTCCACTACACTTAAGCCTTTTACAGACAATAACTCCTGTGCATATACCAAAATAATCTTCAACTTAATTCCTCTGTTACCAAAGTAGGTGCGGTTTCCAACACACCTTCCTCCAAAATTTCTTCGTCACGTTGGACAGCCGGTGCTTAGTTGAATCGATCATAGCGCACAACTTTTCATTTACGTCGCTTGCCAGAGGTTTCGTTATAATGTCAAATGGGTTGACATCGGTCTTGACCGTGCAAAAGTCCACGATTTCTTCACAACTTGGTCTCAGACATAATGCCATCGAAGCTCAATGTGTGTGCCTAGCCTATGTCTTCCCTGCGGCTGTAGGTCGTATTCGATGCCATTTACAAAGGCGTCTTGAATTTCGATACCCATATAAATTTCGTTTATAACCCAGGAAAGACTTTTATCAGGACGTTTCGTAGTATTGGCCTTCCATACGAGCTTCCAACGCGGCGGCACATTGAGCCTCTGCACTTGATTGAGCCATAATTGTCTGACGTCTAGAATACCACAAAATTTGCCCCCCAGCAAGGCAGTGCACGAACCCCGTGATAGAGTTGCGCATGTCAGGATTGCTGCCGCGATCAGATCCCGATAGCAATCAATGATCAGTCTTTGTTTCTCTTCTGTCTTCGTTAAAAGTACACGATGCCTTGACTCTATGTACCAATATAGTACCTGAGTGCCGTTTTCGCAT